ACAGAAACATATGAGGAGAGATATGTGAGGCCACTACCTGACGAAGGGGATATTTATGTAGGATCACCTTGGGAGACAGGAAAAACATATGTTCTAGAGCATCTTACTATATCTGACGACGTGAATTTGCTAGTATTATCCACGCGCCACTCCTATTCGAATGCAGTTACTACCAGACTTAATCTCAAATCATATTGTGATATCGATGGTAATATAAATCATTGAATTATTAGCCAGTAGATCCTGCTTCTATTGGTTGGAAGTGTGAAGAGTCTTCACGATTATCATATGACACAGCATGTATTGGCAAACTTTAGAAAAAAAACTAGAATAGATGAATATCGTTCGAAAAAATAATCGTGTATAATAAATAGTCTAAAGTCATAGAATGGCATCATATATTCAGGGCTAGTCCCGCATCATGCAATTTATTTTAGCTTAATGTATTGCAAATAAAAAACGTTTAGGCCCGAACAATGTAGTCAAATATTTTTCTCGTGGCGATTCAATGTACATACAGTACTAATTTTTTATTACTCGCATGTTACTGTAATACAGGTAATTTAGGAAATTTGGATCGGCAAATTATTGGGCAATAAGATTGTCGGCGAAGATCTAGAGATTTTTATTCTCAAACTTTCTCGCATATTCTCAAAATTATTACGTATATACGTATATTATTGTAAAGGACCCCTTGATGATCTTTACATATGGATAGCGTTAAATTCTCTTATTATTATATTAAGGAGAGTCCGTTGATCAGATTTTCGTGATGCGCTCATATTAACGTAATTTCCCCCAAAAGCGTATAACAAAATCGATCCTGCAAATTATATAAAAAGGTGAAGTCTTAGTTAGTGAACTCTTTTATCCGCCTTGTGCAAGTAAAACAAAAATAACAAACGAAACTAATCAAACTTACCGTTATATTCATCATTAATATCCACAATCAATCAAACGCGCAAAGTAATAATAAGGTGGGTTGATTATTGATTGGCTAGATTCCGGAAGAACATCATCACGATATTCATCGATTTTTCCGCCTATATAGATGCTCAAAATAAAATGGACGTATTACCTTTCTTGATCCTTTTAATATTCGTTGAGAAAATCGGCACGTGTCTAATCAAATTGCTGTGGCTTAGTATTTTTCACCTGATTCTTGACACATGCCTCGAAGTCTGGCGCAGTATATCTATAATCGTAAAAATAATTCTCCGTGATGGGATATTATCAGCACCATCAGCGCAGTAAAATTGTGACATGTCTTATATCAAACATCTGGCGCAGTAAATCAAGAAACAATCTTTCGATCCAAAAACATTAAGCAATAATTTTCTCAAATATTTGGCGGAGTGAAATGCTACAAAAATGAAATATCATGTTAAGAATTAAATGAATTGTAACGTTAAAAATTATGGGCATATACTTATTTCTATTCTCTGATTCTATAGGTTCGAAATTAATATATCATGGAAAAGTTCTCTTACGGAACTTAATCTTTTACATAGTCTATGTGAGTGGGAGTGAAATTAGTGATATAGATAGACGTAGTTATGGGTGTGATAATTTATTTCGGAAATCTAATGTAGTAAAAGAGTATGAGTATAGATAGAGAAATAATTTTATTAGCTATAGATATTTTTCGAGCAAAGAAATAAATTGATGCTGGGACTCGCATTAAATGGCCTAGGATCCGCGTACTCCCTCCCTCTTTGATAGCATCATTTCGTTAATTTTTTTTGATTCTGTAAGTTATTTTTATATCAATAAAACTAATAAAACTGACCCTGGGATATCGATTTCACATATATAAATGCATACCTTAAAATCAGCGTTTAAGTTGCGAATCTTACGTTTTTTGGATTCTTGGAGATTTTGATTATTTTCTAATGAGTCAAGAAACCCTCACCCCTGTGAATTATCACTTGGGGAGTGGTTAGGGACTGAACCCAGTCTTTCAATTCAAACATCATAAAACGTGAGTTCTGATGGAAGCATAGACCATAGCACATGGTATTGCCATCTTTACGTAAAGCAGAGATGGTGCATCACCGGTTAGGGACTTAACCCAGTCTTTCAATTCAAACATCATAACGTGAGTTCTGATGGAAGCATAGACCATAGCGACAATGCAAGTTTCTTGACTTCATTGATCAGACATTAAAAAAATTTTGGACCAATTGATTGATATCACTATCTAGGTTACACCGGGTAATGATTGGATGATTTTCGCGTTTTTCCCAATCCTCAACACGAACAGTCGTCTTATAAGTTATAATTTACAATGGACAGAACCAAAAAATCCGAAAGTACTTCTGAGAGGTAAATGTTATGAATAGTTGCTTTTGCTTTTTATGTTTTTCATGTTAATTTCATAATTTCTTTCAGTTCTTTTCAAAAAGGCCGGAAAAAACTATACCAAGAAGCTCAAAAACGGGAAGTGATTCAGGAGAAAAATGCCACTCGACAATTTCGCGCTCTTGTAAGTATGATAGTCAGTCAATATGAAATTTCTCAGGAAAAATTTAACATTTGCCATTCTCATCAACTAGACCAAGCATGCGAATACCATGCTTACTGTTCGTGTAAGTTTATCATGCAGTCGTATTTTGAATTGGTTTTGAAGAATAACTTACAACTTACACTTTTATCTACCTCAGTTTGACCCTGAATTTTTTATTACACTGGATTCTTTGATTGGTGATTGATTGAAATCTTGGATTGATTGATCGACACGTAAAAAAAATGTAAACAAGATACATATCCATATGTGCCCATATCATATCACATTATAACTGATGATGAAGTGAAAGAGCAAGGTGTCAAGATATTCTCTTGATAAAAAGTGTTTGAAAGTCTTTCCCCTCCCCTCTTGTACTGATTTCTTTTCTCCTCAAGATTAAAAAAGATTCTCATTAGGTTGGTGGTTTTGATGGATTTTTATTTTACCAGTGTAAACTTTTCTTTTCCCCTTTATCCTTCCCCTTTACCTTCTTGAAAAAATAAAAATTTTTATACCTTAGGATCACAGAGGTTAAGTTGGAGTAAACAGTCTTGATGAAGAACTGGTAATGATATTGAGATTTACAAAGAATATGAGTTAAGATAGAGCAACTTTTTTCATTTCCTTAATCACATCTAAAGGCCAGTGGCTGTTGACAAGTGTGCCATATATAGTATAATAAGTTTAACCTATAGTATAGATCTGTTAGATACTGGATATCTATCCATTTGTATCTGGGGTCAATTCGAACCCAATAGTTTGTAAACTAGTTTAAACATAAATAAAATTTTAATATATGGTCTGATTAGGTGTAAAAAAAAAATATTTAACAAATAAATATTTGACTTTAATAATATTTAAATATCTTATAAGAACTTCAACTATAATTATACAGTATATGACTATTTTTCTTTTATGGCTTTTTGGATCAATTTTATTTTCTTTAAGTAAATGAACCTTTATTTTTTTAAGGACATTAAGCAATTTATCTTATATTTTACAATTTCTTTAGATTTTTTATTAATTAGTAATTACACACTTTTAATTTTTTATGTCTTTTTCTTTATTATTCATTAAAAATTAATACATATAAAGTAATATATACATACATATCTATTTAATATTTTTATCTTATTTAATCAACTGTTCATATGCAAATATCTATCATTTGTCTTTAATTTTTCTGTTTGTAATTTTAAGTACCTTTTTCTTTAATAACAATATAAGGTACTGTTATAATACAAGTTTTAGATATCAAGAATAATATAATTAAATATAAGAAAGGTTTAAAAGAAAGATGTAAGGTTTGGCATAGAATCCTTGTAATATAAGACTTTATGTCTAAGTGATTAGGGTTTTTTAAGAATCCCTTTATTAAATAAATCCTTTAACCTTTTATAAATAATTAGAATATCATTTGACCAGCTTTAAACATTCAATAGTAAAGTGGGCCGTTTTCGTCATGCCAATTACAATATATTGCTGCTTAGCAATTCAATGGCAATTAGCACCGCAAGAACTGTCCTCCTTATATAATAATAATGTACAAGCCTGCCAAAATATTTATTTCAATTAATTTATAAAAAATAAGAGAATTTATTAATAAAGAATTATTAAATTAATATTAAGATTTAAAGATAATTTTATTAAAGAAATTAGGAAGGAAATAAAGGTCAAATAATATAATTATAAAGGTAAAGGAAGTTGGCGTAATTGTTGTTTTGACCAGAAGGGTGAAATGGCCATCCTTATATACAGTTTGAAGTTGTACGATTATTCTTTGCTCATATATCAAAGATATTTCTTTGCAAATCCGTTTTTCGTTTCGGAATGAAAATCCTTAAATTACTAATGATTCTATTATCTAAAGAGCTTTAGCAATTATAAGTAACTATGTTCTCTACGTGTTTTTACCCATAGTTTGATAGAGTGACTTTGACTATTTGACTAATAAAATAAAGAGATATTTTGTCTCAAAGATTGTCTGCCGTATAAAATCTATAGAAATTCAAAGGATTTTCACAATTTCATGAGTTAATCACATGGTTACGTGATCTTCGACATCCATTTCCTTGAATTATGATATTATTCCTTCCTATAATTAATATTTTCAATAATATTTTCATAAAATAATAATAAAATATTGTTAAAAGAAGATAAAATAATAATATAAAAATAATATAATATTATCGAATTTAATTATTCGATAACAATATCTAAATATTTTGTTAGTGAACATGATATTATTATCAAGTTAACTTTCAGCTAAGTCTTTACTGCTTAGAAGCTCAAAAAGTAATCAAAGTTTTTAAAAACATTAAAAACAACCAAGAATCAGTTGTATAAGAAATGTACTTCACAATTTTTACAAAAATATTACTATAAGACAGAACCTTCTTCGGATTATTCACTAAAAATAAAAATCTAAAAGGAAATTATCAAAAAGAATATGAATTTCTCGAAAGCAAGTTTCATGAAAACTACAAAAAACATTATAATATAGGATATATCAACTGTGTTATCAAATAAAAAGTGCGCTGGATCTTGAACTCATATCTCTTTATTGCCTATTTAAGATTCACTAATCTGATCAAACTTAAATTTTATAAAATTGCTTAATTACTAAAATTTGGTTGCAATTATTTTTAAAAAACAATGACAAAACAGTCAATTGTTGGAGCTCTGCAAGCAACTGCTTTACAAATCTTTTTTATCTCTTCTTAAAACCTATAATCAAATTTTAACAAAAATAATAATCAAACTTCCTTATTCATTACCAATTAAAAGAAAGAGATATTTATTAGCTATTTTTTCAATATTGTATACATATTATAAATTTATTTTTCTTTCTAACTTATATTTCTTTGATTTTTTTCTATTACTCTAGAATTTCTCTAACCTAAATGAAGAAACAAACTATCTGATTTAAATTTTCTTTCAGATAGAATTTGAAAACTTAACAAGTTTTATGAAATTCTTTCAAAATTGCCTAAATCATACTTAATCTTTCTCTCCTAAAAGAGCCTCTGCCAGTATTATATAAGTCTTATCATCACACCTAGTTATATATTTTCCTTATAATCCAATAATTATAGATATACAGGAGCTAATTAATATTATGAGAAGATAGTACAGTTTTAAGACCTTATTATTGGATTTTTATAAGTTCAAAAGATCTCTCCCCTATTTCTTTAATCCACTTCTGAATAAAATTAATATTATAATTCCAGCAAATACCAAAAAAAACACTATTGCTTTCATTAATTATTTCAAAAAAGACTTTAAATTCAATCTCTTATTAGGTTTCTTATGGATTAATCTATTCTTTTTACAAATAAACAAAAAAAAATTATCTTTAAAAATTAGAAATATTGATACTTCTTTTGAAATTTGAATATATATGAACTATAGGAATGATCAATTCCTATCCAAATTAAAAAAGCTAAGTATAAAATACAAGTTTCATACCTTACTTAAAAAATGATTCAAGGCTCCAAAAGCTTTTCTACCATCAATAAAAGAATTCAATAAATACAATAAAGAAAATCAAATTAATATCTACTTTCTACTTAGAAATAATAATAAATTATTTATATTTATAGCACAACTTTACAAAAGTTATAATTTTAATAGACTTTCTGATAACTACATTCTAAACAAAGATCTATTAGAATCTAGTTTTGATCTTATACCTTTTATTTATTAATATATCTGAAGCATCCAACTTTATATACTTATTAGACAAAAGTATATATCATATCCCACCTCCTAAATTTCTCACCTTTCAATCAAAAAATCTACTTAAATCTTATTCCTAAATATATAATATATGAATTAAATGATAAATTCAAATTTACAGTCCTAGTACACAATCTTAAAAATGAAAGATTAATTATATACTATTTAGAAACAAAAATATCAAAGGACAACTTTCTTCCAAGAAAACTTAACAATTAAATTATCATTGCTAGTATTTTTTTATACTTAACAAAAAATGACATATGCCTAATAATTGATAAAAATCTAAGCAACTATATATTCAAAACTTATATTAAAAATGAGTACTGGTATATAGCATATTTCAAATTTAAACTGAAAATTGATTTAATTATTCTATCCATTTATCTTTTATATAAATCTGAGGAAAGAAAAATATCAAAAAATTCTGAAAACCAGTATATCAAATCATAGCTAGTAATTTCAACTCATATTCACTTGATATTTTAACAATAAATACCTCCACATCAAATTCCAAAAGAAAGATCTACAACTATATGTATGACTGGATAGATATTATTAAGATATTAAATAAAGAAAAGGAGTTCATACATATTACACAATCAAGCATCTCAAAAATTAATCAAATTTGATTTACCAATTACTTAGAAGCCAAAGTTCTGAATATCAAAACCTTCACTACCTTATCAATTAATATAGATTACAAGCAAGTCCAAATTATTTTTGATTGGTTTGAGTATAAACTAATATCATCAAGATATCAAATCAAATTGTTTGATTGGAAATAGATATTAAACTAGCAAAAAAATAACTTTATGAAAAAATTTGATCTTAGAATTTTCACAACTAAGTTTTATTTTTGAATTATTTTCAATAGTGCTTTAATTTATATAGCAAAAAACAATATTTCTTGAATTAAACCAATTGTACTAAAAATAAAGAAGTTAGATGATGGCCAATATTTTAAAATAATTAAGCAAATTAAAAAAGTAATCATTATAATGAAAAATCATTCAACAAATTTGAATTTAGAAACAAAACTTTTAAAAAACATTTACTCTATTCATTATAAAATCTTTGATAATTCTTTAGCTATTATCAAATCATTTAATTATATAAGAAGAGAACTAATTAAAGAAAAATTCCATAGTATTAAGGAGCAGCAGATTGAACAAATTTATATGGTCTTTACAAACAACTTTATCAGATTTTGGAAAAGATTAAAGAGCTTTATTAAAAAAGCTTTAAATAACTTAAAACCTTCCTTGAATCTCAATACAATTCAGAACAATAATAAAAACTTAATCAATAATCCTGAGGAAATCAAGACAATTATTAATAACT